TCTTGTATTACATATTATATTTAAGTTATGTTATGTTATATTAGTACAAGTACGTACAATACAATATTTAATATTGCAAAATATAAGTAAAAAAAAAATTTATATTTCTATTTATTTAAAATTATTTACTTATTTAATTTTAAAATTATTTTAAAATTATTAAACTACAAACGTTAGGAAAAGAAATATGTGTTAAATTGAATATTTGACAAAAAATCTCATTTAAGTTGCATAAATATTATTTAAAATTATACAAAATCAAGAAATAATGTATGTAATTTATAAAATAAAAATATAGATTATGTAGAATTAACAAATCTCTTTACAAATACATATATATAAGTTGAAAATTGAAATTATTTATGAAAATTGTTGTTAGTTGTTTTTCTATATCTATATTATGAAAAAAACGTTAAAGTATTTCTCATATTTTATGATCAATTTTATTATTTGCACTAAATTATAATTCATCTAAAATGATTATCACTAAATGTAAATAAACCAAATATGTATTTACTTAATATACAATACAATTTAATTATTGGATAATAAATTACAAATATTGTTACTTAACGATATCATTTATTGCCACAAAAATTTATTTTTATAAAAATGGAGTTCACAATATATTTGTCTATATTTACTAACTTATTGCAAATTATATTAGAAGTAAATAAAACTATATAATCAAAATCTAAGGAAATCAAGACCAAAATCAAAATATGATTTAATGACAATAAAAATCATAATTTTCATTGATATTGTATATATCGAGAGACATTTGATAGCTTTAATTTAATTAATTTAATTAATTTAATTTTATTTTTTTCTTTGATTTAGGAATATAACATCTATAGGAAAATGACATTGCTGTATAGTTATAAAAAAAATGCGGTTAATTTTAGATTTAGGGAAGATTTAGGGAATCATATTGTGGATATCACGGTATGAGAATTTATCTAAATTTTGCAGAAAAAGTGTTCTCTCGGTGAATTTTATTAAATATATATAACTACCGAGCACAGTAATATATATATAGAGTATAATAGTTGCATAAAGAAATTGTAACATATATTTTTTCATTAACTATATATATAATTATTTTGTTTTTACTGTAAGCTATCAAAAGATAGTAGATTTTCTCACGATTAAAAAAAAAATTTTTTTTATAAAATTCACATTGCTAATGATTCTATTATACATGGTGTTGCATTTTTATTTCATATTTATTATAATGTCTATATTATTATTCATTTTTTTTAATTTTAATGTTTTTTTTTCATTTTTTATTATTTTTCAATTATAATATTTTTTCTCTTACATTTTCTCTTTACTCTTTCTCTTACATTTTTGTATAAAGTTATAAATTATATAATATATAACAAAAATTATAAAATGAAAAGGTTATAAATAATATATAAGAATATGTAAAACAATAATAAAATAATTTCTATTATATCTTATGTCTAGATTTTTGTGCTTTATGTTATTTTTAATTACATTTAATTTTTATTTTTTCTATAAATTTATATTAAATTATTAAAATAAATATATAAAATATAAATATAAATAAATATATATATATAAATATATAAAATATATAAATATATA